GCATTTCACTATGCAAACGAATGTGCGCATTAGGCGACTGGAAAATGCAAATTAATGTGGGCTCAATTGGTTTCGGAAAGATCAATTCGCTGTACAAAAGATTTTCACATATTTATTTATGCATGAGCATGAATCACACGTACTAATTAGGATCGCTCCTCGTGGGGTAAGCTTCCCATGAATTCGAGAAATATGTCATTGCCTTATTTTAGTTAGCAGCTCGTTTCGTTTTGTACTTTGTTTCGTCTTCCATTAGGGCTCAAATCTATCCGACCACATCTCAGCCCCTTTTGATCTCTGCAATCAGAATCCCCAACAACCCGATAAGCCACGGCGTTCTCTGCATCAATCATCTACATCCCTAAGTCTCACAAATTTGATAAAATGTGACAGGCACCCGGTCCTCGGCCGTTGATACCAGCAACCGGTCTGCTCTCTGAACATCACACCTACGAGGATTTCTGAAATTCTCCGGAGGGAAGATGGATGGGTCGGTGGTAGAGAGCAATTCAGTGAACGAACTGTCCTGTTGGTCTTGTTTTGAATCAGTGACTTGGCTTTACAGTCAGACGAGCCGCACTGATAATGTGCTCCAGTCTACACACAAATAACAAGCAAGTACCGAAATGTTCGCGCCTACCGAGCTCCGCTCGCACACCTTTTTCGACACTAGTGGTCATTCTTACCTGTTATCCCTACTCAATCATGCTCGCATCCTCCCACCTTACTTGCCAGATTCGTGGAGGGTTTCAAGCAATCAGCCTCAGGGAGAAACCATTGCAGTAGGTCATAAAATATCCAGTGAATCAGAAGTTTGTGATAAGGGTTCTCAGCCATCGGTGTTCTTATTCTCTGGCTACTCAGCCCAGAAGGCGTAGGGGAATGACGACAGCTAAACAGGAAGTCTTTTAAATCTTCAAAGGCTGTGTGGGACAAGCCCCTAGCAGATCCCAAGCGGTCTCTCTAATCACACTCCATAGCTGGACTTGCGCACCATTACATTGTGAGCCAGGCTATTGAACCAAAGGCTCCGTGTGGAGTCCTTCAAGCGAACCTCCATGTAACCCACTGCCTTACGGATCAGATTGTTGAGTCAAAGGCTCGGAATCAGCAGCTGGAGAATATAATCTGCTCACTCGAATCCACCGACAATACTCCCCTTATTCTTATATTTCTCTCCCCTCTCAACTCTCTTCTTCCCCGTCTATTGTGCAAGAGACTGCCGCTGATCTCGCAGTTGCTGCCATTTATATTCGTAACTCGTCCACCAGTCTCATCCCACAGTGATTCTTTTAACATCTGCACTCTAGGTCAGGTCGCCCAGCAGGCAGAACTGACTCCCTCTCTTCATTCTCTTGGTATTAATGTGTGCTGTCTCCGAAACACGCATGCAAGATGGCAGCGTTGTGACGAACCTTCGACTCCCTGGTTCTGTATCTGATGATGATGACTGCACTCTTCGCACCTCCAGTTAAGGTATTTACGGTGTTGATATCGCCCTCAGCAGACATGCTGAATGTAATCTATTCGACTGGACACCGGTGAGCAGCCGCATGTGTGCAGTTCAAGTTCGAATCTCTATTGGGGTTAATAAGCACAGATTGAAGACGAGGTGCCTTTTCATCGCTTCAGTTTATGCTCATACTGAATGCAGTACAGAAGGTATCAAAGGCGATCTTTACCACCATCTTTCATCTCCTCTCCGCATGACGAAGAATAATGACATTGTGATAGTTGCTGGTGACCTGAAGGCCCAAGTGAGTCGTCCTCAGATTGTGAACACCTGGGAGGGCGCTTCGGGGTCGATGCACGCCGAACAGACAACGGCGATCGCTCCCTGCAACTGTGCGCCGACCACAATCTTTATATTAGCAACACTGCTTTCCAGCGTAAACGTCCACACCGCGTCACCTGGCGCCCACCGAGGTCCTCAATGACCTGGACCCAAATTGACCGTATTGCCATCAGCTACAGATGCCGCACATCAGTCCAAGACTGTCGGTCAATTTGGAGCATATGGCTGAATTCCGAGCATGCTCTAGTGCGTATACGCTTTGCGCTCACTCTTCCTGCCTCAAAGAAGCGCCTATCGTCTAACCTCTTAATCTGTATCTTGAATTTGCTGTCTGCGGTTCAACAATATCACAATGAACTGGCCCACCAATTGTCGATGATGAATGAGGTTGGTGAACCGAACCCTGACTAGGATGGTCTCAACTGTGCCACGAAGAATGTCTGTGAATGGATCTCCGAGGCATCGATCAGTGTGATCGAACCGCGCAAACACGTTCTAGGGGTAATGAGTTTCAGCGTGTCCGTAACTCCCTGAAACGACGTCTGGCAAGGAGGTTTCGAGTGGATCGGGAACGTTGGTGGGCTGCAAAGACCCGTGAAATGGAGAAAGCCGGCGCTATTGGAAATCGCCGGGTGCTATTCCAGTTCATCTGAAATACGGGTCCGAGAGAGCCATCAGGTAGCGAGGCAATAGCATCATCGACTAGCCCATTAAGCGGAACATTTTGAACAGCAGGCCTGCTGCGATACTGCCGCTTGCCGAATCGCCTGACCTGATATAGGAAGTAGATGTCACACCTCCAATTTTGGAAGATATTGGATACGAGCTTTCTGTGTTAAAACGAAACAAGGCTCCTGGAACCGACGACCACTCTCCATTTTTGCTGAAAGATGGCGGTGACTCTTCGGTGGTTGGACACGCTTCTCTACTTAAAACCATTTGGAACACTGAAGAGATATTTTCAGACTAGCGCACCCATCTTCAAGAAGGGTCAGCATACTTCGCGCGAAAGTCATCGAGACATTAGGTTTGTTTCGGTTACATCTAAACTTCCCAAGGGTATCCCGCGCTTGCCCTGGATCGTGCCTGGCGTCCATTTTGCGTGTCCTTCCCGGTAATCAGGTACAAACACTGGTTGACCCGGTTTAAACGAACGTCGCTTGACACCATACCGCCGACTGAAGTCAAGTTCCATCTTGAAGTTCATTTCACCAGCTGTAGGATCTGAGAACGGTTGAACCGCATCAAACGGCATGCGAAGCTTTCTCTTCAGCATTGCCTCTGCTGGTGATATTTCACCCGCCGTTTTTGGATTTTGTGTAGATCGGTACAGAAAGAGGAAGCGGTCGATCAACTTTCCTTGATATTTTTACCTTCTCCCGGATAGTATCCGCGCGCACGAGACGCGGATGTGACCCAGGCAGTGCAGTTGGCGCAGCGGTACTAATTTGTCAAGAGGGAGATTCTAAGACATCGTCGTTGCAAACATAATGTCCCCAATGCCCAAGAGCCATTCTCCGCAGACAACCGTTGTCATTATATATATATATATATATATATATATATATATATATATATATATATATATATATATATATATATATATATATATACGTCTACCTGTATTCTATTCCATTAACTTGCACACCTCGCTTAAGCCAATTGTATTCGATTTCCATAACATTTTTGTGTTCGTGGCAATTCTGTAAAGTATACTTTCTGACTTCGTGAACTTATCTAGGATTCCTTCGTAAACAACTTATTTCATATGCTCATTAACGTAAGGTTTATGTCACCGTTTTCCTTATGCATCAATCGAGTCATTTTTTTGTCTCTCTCTCTCTCAAGTGATTGGCTGTTGTTTGATATCCCCGGTGGGGCTGCGCTTGATGTGCATGTTGACAAGGTGCCTACCTGTCTGTTACCCGCTACCTCGTCCATACTGGCTCCAGAAGACAATTGGTCGTTGCTGGAGGGGACGGGGTGCACGGCCCTTGTGGCCGTGCTAGGCTCGAAGAGCGGTTCCATGCACTGTGTGGAGCGGACTACGGTCCAGCCGCCGCCTTGTGTGCGCTTGATTCCCCAAATACAGCGTGCTTGTGTTTGCCTGTAAAGGAGTGTGGGACGGCTCCGTTGATGAAACGTGGCTCTCATCCACATGCCTCCCGGTCTTATTCCTTCGGGTTTACACTGGATGTGGGGTATGTGGTTGGAGCTGTGGATGGTGCAGCGCAAGCCACCCATGGTCCATCTGTAGGCGTAGGCGTCCTGTGGCTGGCCACAGTGACAGGCAAATCCGGAACCGGATGCCGCCAACCATATATATATATATATATATATATATATATATATATATATATATATATATATATATATATATATATATATATATATATATATATATATACTTGCCCAATAAACATTTGGCAGAGTGCCACAACACATGAGTAACAATACCAAAAAGGAGGAAATGAGAGTCAGCTGAATGGATGGAAAGTTCCATGTGTGGCGTTGGCATTGAGCTCCCCGGTTGTTCACGCCGAGGAAGAGGGCTGAGTTAAGGGACCCCACCCCGAGCCTTTGGTCTTAAAGACCTGACCCGCAAGGCAGCGGGGTGATCCACGAAGACCGTTGACAGCCAAATGGCTCATTCGCCATTTTTGTGTTCGGAAGCAGTTCACAGAGAAGCCGGTGGGCAGCGAAGTTGTTCATCCGCCCTCCGTTAGATGCTCACCCTCAGTTACAAGAGTGAGTGACCTGTGACCCTATAGCCGGCCAAAGGCCGAAATCCACACGAAACGTCCAGGACTCATTTACATACAATAGTACTGCGCGTTATCCCGTAGTTAATATATCTATTAAGTGAGACTACCGATGACTTCAATAAGAAAAGCATTTTACAAACTTTTAATCTCAACGAAATCTCGACAAGTGTCAACTTCTCTGACATAAAAATATGTTAGGGTAACACGTGTACCCAAGAAGAGGTTCCAGAATTATTATCAAATAGTGCGCGCGATATAATATCGAATTTGGAATTTAAATAACTCCCCTTCTGAAGACGTATAGAAGTTTGTTTATACCTCAGCGACTCACAGTGGATGCACTGATGTGTCGTAAATATTCCAATCACGGAGTAAATGCGTTACCAACTACGTTCATAACACGTTCCACGCATGCGGATGGAGCAGAGAATGAAACGTTATCAAAGCAGACCATTTAATGAAAAGACAGAAGCACGCGGGCAGTGTGAATACCAAAGAAATTGAAAGCACACGTCATGAAAGCAGACATTCGCTGATAAAGATCGATTACAACATCCTCTAAGACTTGGAGTCTGACTGAGCGTTGGATTTTCCCCACAGCCAGCCACGCACAAGGCCAGCGAGACCGGAGCCAGCATCTTTCGCCAACCCCGAGGAGTCCACTTTGTCGGCCAAGGATGGGAAATTTACATAATTCAGAGCCAGATCGAAAAGGATGGGTTTCACCGGGACTGGTTCAAAAGGAGGTGGCAATTGAACGAAGGGGTTTGTAGCGGAGGCAAGTGATTTCTCGACAATCGCTACGTCCAGATAACGATCCAAGCGCTCGATGAGTGGCTGTAAAGACAAACAATCAAACCCATGAAGCTGATGAGAGCAGAAATTAATTCAGATATCAGTTGATAGTGTATTCCATCAGATAAGGACACTTGGTAAATGTGCTTGTATACCTATAGATTCAAGACTTGATCGTTAAGTTAATTGAGATCTAAGGTCGAAATTGCTTCAGTTGACCCAGGAAAAGTTGAACAGCGCTTGCAACCACACGTTATTCAAGGAAATAGAACGAAAGGTATCAGCAGCTGCACGCGAGCTTGAATGCTGCCATGGTTCTCAAACCTAAGCAGCAGGAAGAACTCGGATCCGGTGTGCAAAGTGAACACGTCACAAACTGAAACACACTTTCTCTCCCAGTCGAACGAGGTCAAATCAAAGTTGAACTGTTTGTGAAAACCAGTAATCGAATTGCATGGTGGAACGTATCCACGGTTGTCATTAGGATAGTCCTCAGAAAACCCGGATGTTTGCCCACCTTGTGAGCTTGCATTGTGTTAGGTGTTCAATTCTCCCTAAGCCCACATCTTTGTTCTGCTGTTCATCACTAGTTCAGGTCGATACTTCATCGCATCTCAATTGTTTCGATTATAACAGATATTCCATGCACTTGGTCTGATGTCGTCTTCTCCATGGCGTGGTAACATGGTTAGCACTCTGAGCGATGCGTAAGATATACATTTGGCCATAGCCTATCGCATTGTCGGCGTGTGTGTGCTTCACGTTCACCTCTCTAACCCTCTGCACATTCTGTGACGGGACCACCAATGACTGACTATTGTGAATTTGTCGTTTCACAACACATTCGTTGTTTATTCATTCCACATCTGGTTGTTTTCTTTGAACAATGATTTCGATACCTTCACTGTTTCTCCCCATCTGTTTTTAACTGCATCCCGTTGTTGACGATGACGTAACAGGGTTCTAGACGATTGGAGTTTGTCCAATTTCCTTAACGGCATAGTAGTAATAGCGTTGTAAACACTGCTACCCTAACTTGTTCTGAGTTCGAGAGCGGTGGCTACGCGTGACTATTTAACTTTCGATCGGGAAGATTAAAAACACAAGGGAGTAACTAGGAGAACAGAGTGGAGTATTGATTCAGTCAGCTTGTGAGAGCGAAATCACATCCGCTGCCAACGGTTAGCGGTTCGACGGGATTTCGTGTGGTGACGGTGAATTTCTCAGAAAACTTGTTTTTGCCCACAACAGGACAGACTGCACCTAGTCAATAAATTTGGAATTTTCGGGGAAATACCTGTACGTATGGATTGGGAGACGCAAATTTAATTTGAGGTGAAGTTCAATCAGTTGGCTTTCTAGGACATTGTCGGAGGTAGCTAACATGTAGAGCATGGTGGACTACCAGGAATTGAACTCGGGACGAGAGCGTGCAAGTATCGAGATCACATCATCGAGCTCCCTTGTCGGCGTTTGTCACAACAGCTAGGAATTTACCACTAATTTGTTTTAGGACACTCAGGCTACTTGGCCTGAAGAAGCTCCCACATTAGGAGCAAGACATTGCCAAATACAAACTGGTACAAAACGATTTGTAGTCAAAGATCGTAAGTTCGATCACTGAGGCTGTGTGTGAATTAGATAAAATGGAGGTGCTACCCGATAGTCGATGTGTTGGTAATGATCTCGCACTATCAACAAAAACTCACCTTAAGACCCAATTTAACGTCTGTTTCAGTGGTCGTCGTTGAGTCGGAAGAACGATCCCCAGAGCCGGATAGATCGAGCATATACGCGGCGCGACAAGCCAGATCCTCCGATTCGATCTGTTTGACGAGGGAGGTCAATGCGTCCATGAGCTGTTCCGGTGGAGGACCAGGGGCAGCGTGGGACTCACTCTCACTCCAGGTAGAGATGGCGGGAGACAGCGAGTGTAGTGCTTCCGTCGCATGGCGCTTGGCTCGGGCGAGCAGAGCGGAGCATTCGGCAAATCGTTTCCCATGAAGATAGATGAATGCCAGATAGTAACAACTACGAAAAAGATGAGTAAGAACAGAGTGGAAAGGGATGTGAGCAAATGGAGGAGAAGAGAATCACAAGTCAGTGCAGAGAGTAGAAATGAAGCACAATGAATCCGGTGGAGCGGACATGCGCACCGAGGCCATATGGGAAGATGGCTACGAGGAAAGACGCCGACAGTATGAATCCGATGTGCTGCATGTTTCTATGTGGTCGAACGGAAAAGCAAACGACTATATACAATACTAATGAGTGGGAGGAATTTTGATGAAAGTTTATGTATTCGTCCGAGCAGGTGGTCATGGGTCAGACGGTATAACTACTAATCCGTTTTGTCCTCTCGGGGCGCGTCAGTAGCGTGTATTCCTTAGTTTTCACGAAGCCAGACCCATAACCGATGGCAGCTTGCACCAACCAGCCAGTGGTGCATGCCAGTGAGATATGGGGGACAGTGGTGAGGTACAGAATAAATGTACTGGATGCAGCTCCGATGAAACAAAGTACACGGTGTCCATAAAGTCTGGAAATGTAAAATAGTTGGATAGTATTTAGTAAATTAAAATTAAAGTAGTAATTACTACTGACAAGCCCCAATCGGGCGAAACGCGTCCCGTGCTTTTCCGGACTAGATTGTGCTGGGTAGCTTGTGAGCGGCTGGGACGAAAACACTAGAATTAAAAAATCCTCTTACTCAATAGCAATACAAAAGGTAGCCTCTTCTAGTTTCAAATTCTATAGACGTAGCGTCTAGTGAGAGGAAGTCATGACCTTCGGAGGCTAGCCACTGTCATCTTCTTAGTAACCTGCGCGGCAGTGGAAGATAGGTCGCGTTATATCCCAGTTAGCTTACGACGTCAGCCGTGGGTAAGTGGCTTAAGCTGCTGGCTAGTTGGCATCTGCCTCTAGCGGTCATGGGTTCGACACACAGTAGGGGACCAAGGGAAGCGCACCACTGACGAGCCCCAATAGAGCGAAACGCGTCTGGTGCTCTTCCGGACTAGGCTGTGCTATGTAGATTGTGAGCAGCTGGAACGAAAACATGGCAATTAAATTTAAACCATTAGCGGATTTTTTGCCTTTACAGATTAAACACGGCTTCGTCAACAAATAAAGAACCGTAATTCTACTGATTTCCTTTTCTAGGGCACGCAAAGAAAAGTGTAATCAAAAAAATCACAGATCCTGTACACTTGACGCAACGAATAATAAGTGAATGTGACGAAATTGACGGCAATGTGGATTTGATACAGAATGTATATGAAAATTTTGCGAAACACAACATTTGCGCTGTAAATGATGGAAATTATAAAGAGGATGTGATTTGAATAAAAGTTGCATTGCTACTCAACGGTTCGACTTATTAGGAGAATAACTATTAGACATTCATTTCTTGTGAACAAGCTTAATAGTCACTCTTTATTCTCCCTATTTGCTGTTGTTTAAATGCTCTACTGGGTTAACGCCATTGGTCCACACACGTCATTGTTAATGGACGCTTATCGTCGTGTCCCTTCCAGCGGTGCCATTTGTAAGAACACATTACACTGGTTTTTCTCCTCATCACTGTTCTACTTGGGTATGTTAAAAGGATATTTAGTTGTCACATGATTATTGTACTATTTTTTAATTTTTGGGTCTGCATTTCTTATTCTCGTTTGTTGCGTGACATTTGTTTAAACGTTACATTTCGTTATTCTGATTGGCCAGTGCCCGTCACTGTAAATAGATGTCTGTCTTACGCTTGGAGTTACATGATGCTATCTTTAAGGACATATGTGATTCGCTCTTGAGTGCACGGTTGCTTATTCGCCGTTGCATTTCTGCTGGTTGGCTCAAGTGTAATTTAGTAGCTTCCTTTTATTTTGCCTTCAAAACCATATAAGCAAATGTGATTTCATGTATACAAGTCTTTCTGGCTCATCTTTGGACTTCTTCTTGCGGTCGTGGGGTGAAGGCGTCAGCGGCGACACAACACGAGTATAGTAGGGGGTGACGTGACGTAAAGCAATAGTTACTTCACCCAATGCCGTAACTTTAAGGCATGAAGAACTGTTAAAGGAAAAACCTGATTCATCACTAGTCCACAGACGAATCGTGTTCGGTGAGCACAGATTTCGTAGTGAGTGTATCGAATCAGATAGTCGCATAGAGAAAAAGGCATCAAAAAATTCGATGGGAGAGGGATGAACGAGGCAGAAATAGAATCAGTATCGCTCAACGAACGCGTGACCGAAATGGTAAAACAACTGATATTGTTCCAATTACTGGTGTTTGGCAGATCAATGCCCATACGTGTTGGAAATGTCATCTGTGCAACAATGAAGGTTGTCAAGCGCTTTGGGTCCTTGGTGTTGACATGCTAAGTCGGTGGTACTAGGACGGACGAGGTGTAGATTGTAGCTTATACCATCGGTAGAACTTGAGATTTGGGTGGCCGATGTGTGTTTGACGTTGGTCAAGTTTGAATACGCTCCATGACCAAGATAATTCAGGTAAGTGTTCAGATAAAGTAAAAAAATGCATTGAGACACGATAGCAAACACATCACCTGAAATAAAAAAAACAGCAAGCAAGGACGCGGTTATTAAATCGAATGCAGTGTACCGACAAACGCTGCGCCAGTTCTCCCTACGTGCTATGCAGCACCCGTTGTCGTTTCGATGCTGGTCCCGAATGGCCTAACTCGTGGCTCACTAGGCCTGCCTAACTCAGGTGCTCACGGCCGCATGTGCTAAAGCACCATGAGCCAGAGGTTGATGGAGTACATCCCATCAGCAAATGCCGTTTCTTCTCTGCATGCACAACGGTTTTCTCTTGCATCGCGATAACGCGCCATGCACGCCGGTCAACCGCCTTCGATTCCCATGACCTGCAATCAAGATTAGAACGTCATAGGCACACCTTGATCATGTCCTGGTAACGAAGCGTCGGTTTCCTCACATGCCGCTTCCCACCACTCAGCAGACCAGATAATAGCTACTTCGGTATCCGCGTCTAATCCATATGCCACACATAATCGAGCACCTAAAGTGACCTAGCGACAGTATACAGACCACTGCGTACATTCCACTTCCACCTCGGCACAGCAGCACCGTGTCTGCAACTCTGTTGCAACAACCAATGCGCAGAATCTGTTGATGAAACCGCTCGAGATATCGCACATCTCGCCGGTACATCGTCCACGTTTCGCAGCTGTATGGAAGAATGGACAGCACCATGGAGTTATACACCATCAGCTTCGTGCCAACGGTAAGCTGATGGTTGTTCCACAGTCGGTACTCAAACTTCCCGAATGCCGCCGCCGCCTTCGACACGCGGATACGCAGCTCACTGTGTAGCTGCTGATCAGTCGACATCACATTCCCAAGGTAGCAAAAGCGGAAAGTGGTTTACAATACTTCAGCACCAATGCTGATTTGCGGCAATATTGAAGATTGCATCTCCGGTGAAGGCTGAAAGAGACAGACAGTTTTGCTTGTGTTGATGGTGAGCCCGAATTTGGCCGCTGTCGAAGCCAGAGCACTAGTCATGTGCTGCAACTCATCCGCGCTGTGTGAAAACAACGCACAGTCGTCAGCAAACAGCAACATACGGATAGTGGTCTCAGAGACTAGAGTTCTCGCACCGAAACAAAGGATGTTAAGCAACCCACCAGCAATACGGTGCTCCCCACGAACACCGTAAGCACAAGCGGCATCAAAAGCACAAGACATCATTGCATGAAGATAAATACCAAACAAGGCAGGAGTTAAGACACAGCGTTGCTTCATACCAGAGACAAGTGCAGTCATCCGTCTCTCCACTCAGCTGCATGCTCGTCCGCATACCACTTTGTAGACATTCAAGTAAGCTTACGAACTTACTCGGAAAACCAAACTTACCCAACACCAGCCACAATGCGTCGCGGTTCACCCTAACAAATGCTTTGGTGAAATCAACAAAGTGAGTACAACGGCTGGTGTCGTTCTCTACACCTTAAATAAATAAATGCATCTGTATATTTACCGACAAGCGATACACGGCCCCATAAGCAGGAGCGATAATTTGTATAGTGAATAGGTTCCATGGTTTCGAGGATAACTGCTGTTATCACTAATGGATGGCGTGTCGCTAGACATTTTGCTCCCTGACATGGGTGTACTTTTCGATGCACTAATCGCGTTGACGTCTATTCCCCGTGAGACAATCGAGGATAGTATCGTCAGCGAGTTGGTACAATCAGGCCCTTTTAGATAAATATCTGAACACTTACTGGCTGGACGAGTTTCAGACCGTAACTTTACAGACGGGCTTTCTCTGCATGTGCGCAAGAGACGGCATTCCTTGTACTGGTTATGTCCTCAGTAGCATTTGAAAAGTCAATGGTGGCTGCAGAATGATCTAAATCGAAGGTTCTGCCTAACGGGCCAATGCAATAAGCACCGGATGCTATCCATTCCCTCGATTTCCGGGAGCAATAAGCGGAATTCTTTTTAGTGCGCTTTGGTGAATTATTAGTAATAGATAAATAAATTTGTACATTTACTGACAACCGGTACACGGCCCCATAAGTGGGAGCGATCATTTGTATAGTGAATAGGTTTCACGGTTTATGCGGTGTAAATCATAATAGTAAAGGAAAGGAAAGTAATAGAATTTCGGATCATGATATTTTTCCTCGGGTCCTAGATCCGAGCACCTAATATGTAAAAATTACCGATATTTGTATCATCATTTGCTAGTTTGTGGGGCTCGGGAGTAGATAATAAAAGGGAGGGGATACTAGGCTGCACAAACACAGGGTAGGTAATGTGACATGTAGTGGGTAAGCTAGTTTTAAGCAAATATCTGCTCATGTTTTTTACACCAGCCTCCGTCAATGTTTCTAGAG